CCTCACACATCAGCCCTTCAGACTATCCAGGCTCGACCTGTGTGGAACAGGAGCTTGTCCTCATTAGTCTCTACACATCATTAACAAAACAGATAAACTCATAAAGTCATAAAACAGATAGTCAGTAACATTTACACTAAAAATAATAAAATAAAAACAGTAGAAGAGCCATGTAGAATTGAACTACCATTCAGTTACAAGAATTCTTAAGGAAAGCCTTAAAGGCAGAACAAATTTGTCCTGGACGTCAGCAGAAAAGTTACAGTAACACATGCTCACCTCTGGTTTGGAGACAAGGTCAATATTCTTATCAAGAAGAAATGAGACCAAGGACAGGTGACCATTCTGGATTGCAATCTGTAGAGCACTGGTATTGTTCTGAAATACATGTTATAAACAGCAAAAGCTTTTTTTTTTTCCCGGGGAGGGGGGAAAAAAAAAAAAAAAAAGCTAAATACTGCTCTCTATATGGAATAATCTTTCATTTAAATCTGTGCTATTATCCAAGAAGTAGTCCCCTTTTCAAAAAGTTATACAATTAAGTAGACACCAGTTACTATGATGTGTTTTTGTTTTTTACATTGCTACTATATTTCCACAAATCTAACCCCAGTGCTCTATAGTCCTTTTCAATTTCTCTTACGGAAGAGATAAAACAGCTTTGTGAGCTCTCCTGTATCACAGACAAGGATAAGTCCAATATATCTCCTGGTCTTTCAGTGTGACCTTTAGCAAGCAATCACCTTCCCACTGGTATTTTTTTTTTAATTCAGAGAAAACTTTCTCTTAAAAATAATCTCTCAGTCTCCAGGAAACAAACTCTTGGAAATTCTTGCAAGAGCCAAACCAAGGCTGCTAAAGAAATTTCAGTTATACTGGAATCAGGGAACCAGATGATGGTTCCCCGATGGGACCCAGATGGGAACAGGTTTATCAGCAGCTCAGTTATGCACACTGCCCAAATTGAGGTCTTTCAATTACCCCATAGTTAGTCACATTTCCTAGCCATATATCTTACTGCTGGATAAACAGTAAATGCTGAAGCCCATCAAAATATTATGTCAAAAAGGTCTATCCTGTTACTTTTTTCAGCATAAATTTTGTGCTCTTAACATTCTCCACATTTCCATTTATATTTTTCATAAAATGTTTATCTTTTACCGTTTCATAAAAGCAAGCAGAACAAATATATTGTTAGCACACAGAGCAGAGAGAGAGGATATGACCCTTCCCACAGCCTAGACGTCCCCGTAAGAGTGTGCTGAAGGAGCAGCATTTACATACTTGAGTTAAAAGGTTGATGTCACTCCCTGCTTCCAGTAAGAGTTCAGCACATTTTTCATGACCTCCTTCAACAGACAAGTAAAATGGAGTTTCTCCATGCTAAATAACAAAGAAAGAGAAATTTGCTGCTCCAATTCAAGCTATGTATAGCCAATTTTTAAAGTTTGCTACAAAACAGATTAATCAGACTCATCCGGATCAACAGAAAAAGAAGAGGAGAGAGCATCATCTCAAAGCTCCTGTGAACACGCAAATGAAATGACAACTCACCCCCCCTTAAGTGGTGGATGTCATTTATGTCTGTTATGTATAATAGTTATATACGAATAACTATTTCATATATTTCTCTTTATTGTTTTGAAAGGACAGTACAGTCAGCACACAAGGTAACAAAGACGATGGATAGAAATTGCTGCTCTTTGGCACAAAGTACCAACACTATCATGCCAGCACACACCACCAAGGCCAGGTTCTGTTAGCCCAGTGCCAAGGACTTTGGATGTATTCTCACTTTTAATACTAGTTAAAAGGAGCAGTAACAATCCTGGCGCAGGCTTTTTCTAAAACTCATCTCCCCCAAATCTCCACATCTCCAAAGCAAGTCTCTAAAATAAGTTACATGAGTTGCACAATGACCTAACGCCTAGATGCAAAATATTACAATACACAAAGGTTTATTTAAAGCTAACCTGAGTTTCAGCATTCCCTGAAGCAGTAATAATTCCATATTTTTCCCTGCCTGAAACCCTGCCACTCTCATTCTGTTTAACTTATTCTGGTACATTACTAGTGCTGAGGTGAGAGTGCTCTGTTTATTCACAGAAAGAAAGATCAACTACAACTCTTTAGCCATGACAGGGTAGGGGCAGAAGTAGTGCAAGCTCTGTCTGCACAATCAACACTTTTCTTGAACAAATTTTGGAAATGCAAGTGCTTCACATTTCAAAAGGTCTTAGATAGACTAGTTGGCTGAGAGATAATCTCTCTACCCATAAATCTTTTGACAAATGAAGAGGGAGACCTTCATAGATGTTCCCTACTCTTTTCAGACAGTCCTCTGCTTGGGTAGGAGAGCCTGTCAGCCACAAGGCAGGTTTCTGTAATGGGGAAACTTGCCCACGAGGAATTGACCTAACTAGTCCAATTCATTCCAGCTGCCCTAAGGAGCAGAAGAGAAACTTATTTTTGCAAAGCTGAGATTATGTGATTATGTGTGCTCTCTTGTCTTTCACATCTAATTCATGTCTTAAAATAAAGCATGAATTACACATGTGCTCATGAGTGCAGCAACTCAGGGATACAAACTTTGCAACTAGTGTGTACTTCATGAATATGCTGACTGAACTAATCAATACTAACCCAGGAAAAAAATGTGACTTAAGTGAGTTCTGTGGAGCCAAGTGAGACTGGATGAACAACATACAAATCTGAGGCCTCCTTGTTGAGGTGCCTGTGATGGTCTGTGCTGGGTGTGCATCTCACAGAGACCGATAAAGCATCATGGGCAGTGCAAGGAACTGGATTGTGTGGCTAGAAATGCAGGACTAGAAACTTGCTTTTCAGTATATACTGAAGAGCTTTGCTTGGCTTGCAAACTTACACACCAGCATATAACCTCCCTATATTACAAAAGTACCACTTAGCTTGCAACCAGCTGCATTAGTTCTGCCTTTCATCTACCAGTAGTTAGAGTACACAAAATGGGGAGGAAGCCCCTCCACATATAAGAGTAAGAGGCATTGAAACAGTCAGTGGAGCTGAGTTTACTGGAGAAGGGACAAAGAAACAGTATGCAAATGAAGTCTAGTCAGTGCAAGTTTTTTTTTAATTTAAAAACTATATATTCTTTCACAAACTGTATCTCTTTTAGTAATTTCTGTGTCCTCACCTGATTGAGGTCATTTATTTCTTCCCATTGTTCGAGCAGAATTTCTACAACTTGGCTGTGTCCATTTTTAGCTGCTAGATGCAATGCTGTATTTCCCTCCTTGAAATTAAAATATCAGAGATTTAAAAATGCACATTAAAGAACAAACATTAAGTAAAAACAACAGCCTGTGTTAACACATATTTAAATACAAGCCTTTGGTCTTTCCAAATCACATTCTTGCACACAAGGAGCAGTTTCACAGAATGTTCCAACATTCAGACTTTTTTTTTCTGCCTGTGTATATGTGAAAAGACCCCTTTTCACATGATGCTGGTACAAGAACAAATGTAATGCTGTCTAGAAACAAACTGAAGCTGAAGACTGGGAGAAGGATAACCCTTAGGGGAATTCCAGTCTTAACAGTAGGGAGGAAAAAAAAAAAAGGGGTGGGGGTTGTCAAGTGATATATACATACACACTGCGACTGCAAATAGTGACCCAGGAGATGAGGAGATTATCTCCTACCTACTTATTCTGCTTCTGGGTTGCAGCATTCTCCTCTCATTGCTGCTTTAATCTATTCAGCTGCTTATCTTTCCGGAACGATACTCTCTCTTCACTCTCTTTTAACCTCTGCTGAAAAAGTGCTTAGAGAGCTTCATGCTGCATTGTGGTTTTTAAGGTATTACCAGAATACCAAAATAAAAAAATCATTTATTTTGTAGCATAACTTGCAGGATTCTTACATGCATGGTTCTATAATAACAATACCTAACCATTTCGCAATTTCTAATGTATTTATCCTTGCAATGCCTAGGATGTAGAGAAACCCCAACATCATTCCTTAAAGAATAAGGGCGATTTTGCATAGTACACAGATACCTTAAAATTCCATCAGATTTCGGTGTTGAGGCACTTCTGAAAAATCCCTGTAAGTGTTTATTTATGTCTTAAAGTATTTTAAAAACCTTTTGCAAAACTTGTCATGCGGGTCTTTGCAGTGACACACAGATACAGCTGAGCAGACGTAGAAACTGGGAAACTTGGCTCGTCAGTGCTGAAGCTGGCTCCTTACTCACTAGACCTTCCTGCTTCTCCCAATAGACAGCTTAACAATTAACATAAAGCAGTACAAAAGTAACACATATGGAAAAGATTCCTGGCATCAAGACCAGAAATTCTGCTACCCTGCATTAATTATTTAATAGTCATTATCTTTGTGTCGTTATTGGTCTCTCCAATATATATCCAATATACAGGAGATTTAGCACCATGACATCTGCACACTTTATTCATATTCCTTGGTGATGTACTAACTACTCTGAAACAAAATAACCTTTCATATGCACAATTTTATTTGTACTTCTACTGAAAAGAAAATGTTACCTTATCTTTTTCAGATGTAAACAGCTTTAGCCTAATCAAATTGTTAATCATATCAGCATGGCCTTTTTCAGACGCCAGAAGAAATGGTTTTCTACCTTTCTAGAAAATAGTCATGAAAAGAATACAATGTTACAAAAGCAAAATATTGTTTCTCCTTACTACATATATGGTATATATAGACGCACGTATATTCTGCATAAACACTTGTTTAAGTAAATCAATTAAAATGTGGAAGTTTACAAGAATGTTGTGAATAAAAAAGGCAAAATTTTCTTGGGGTAAAAAATAGATTATATACCTTGCATATCTTGAAGAAAATATTTGAACACTGACCAGAAAAGGTAACAAATGATGCAAACAATGTGCTCCAAACACTGAGTTCTTAATTATTCTTGATATAGAACTATTCATCAGAAGAAGAACTGTTTCATTAAAAAAAATGAGGTGCTCAGAAATAGTCACCAAAGTAGCTGAAAGACGTATTTCTTTGGCATAATACATTTGATCAGAATTCTGCAGCACAGTCCACAACCAGTATTTCTGAGAAATGTCATCCAGGAGGCCTAATTCAATTGTTCTGCATTTGTTTTCCATTTGTAAAATGAAACATTTTTCTTCCTGCTTACAGTTTAAGCAATGTTCTCTAGACATAAAATAGCATCACTGGTCAGACAGGCTATCTAACACCAAAGGCTACCCGACAGTGCCCTATATTATTAAGAAAAAGTTCAAGAAATGCGCTAATAGGTAATTATGAAACAAACTCAACACAGAGACTATTCTGAAACACAACGTTTGAAGCACAAATTTCAGTTTTGTTCAATTAATTCAGCTTTGTTGGCCTTGGCTCATGTAGAAAGCATTCCAGATTTGGCAGCATCAGGTCAAGACAATACAAAGCTCCACAATATGACAGGGAAGCTTGTTATAGCAGAGGCTGATCCTATGTTTTTCGTGAGGTAGAAGTAAAATATCCTGTTTAGTTAAGCAAGCTTTCAAAGAGAGATCCCCACGCACTGATGTACAGAAATACAACCACAGCAAATCCAAAGAGGACAAGGCTCTTGCACTGCTGCCTTGCTGGGGCACCTCCACTCTTCACCACACAGGATGACTACATGCAGGCCCATATCCTGCATTACATGACATCAAAGAAATAAGCAGGAAATGGCATACTGTACCCCATCAGGCTTGTTCAAGTCTTTCAGGTGAAGATCCTGGATAAAATAATCAACTATTTTTACACTGTTGTTCTGAGCTGCGAAATGCAGTACATTCTTTCCTTCCTAAAAAAAAAAAACAAGGCAACTCTGTAAGAACAAGCTTAATTTTGCTCCAGACAAACATGTTTAGAGTTGATTAAAATTTATCACCAACAAACCTCATTCTTAGCCTTTTGATCAGCACCTGATTTAACTAATTTTCGCATAATGTCCAGATTTCCAGACCAAGCCGCAAGATGAATCACTGTCAGGCCATGCTTCAAACAAAAAGAAAAGGACATCAATTACCACCAAAATACCCGTCTTTTCCACTCCCTAAAAAATCTTTGTGATTATTTCAGCGTATCAATGGGTTGTGCTTTGCAGGCATGAGAAGGTCAGTCAGTATTATCACCTGGCACAGTAATTGAGACTCATCTCATTTAAGTTAACTGTCATGCATCAAAATGTAGCTGTACAGGATCCTCCTCCTCGTAACAGGAAGGCATTTCCAGAGAAAGATTAATCTCATTTTAAGATAAGGATTTATAGACAGAAAATTTCTTACTGTGGCTTACAAATCTATCCTGAAAAAACTTTCAAACCAAACTTTAATTTTTGCAGGGGTAGTTTTAAAGAGACTTTCAATTTCAGATCATAAATTTAAAGCAGTATTATAAACATATATATATGTATATATCTTATGATCATCTTTTATTCACTTCTTCCAACTTAAAACTGTATATGCCCAACTGCAGCAGGACTATTAATAGGCTCGTAATTCAGCGTATAATTAGGCACTGACAGCATGAAGAACTTAAAATGTATCTTCAATAGTTTCTGTAGCTCCCTTCTTGGATCACAGCTATAGTTTAGAACTCATTGGCACATGTTAGAAATGTTTCCCTGTATTAGCAGAAGGTTTTTTCTAAGTCATATTTTCATAAACAAAATTAAAAAACATGAATGTGCATTATCTTCACAGACCTAACTACCAGATACTATTTCAACAGACCAACTCAACTGAATAAAGAATTAAAAACCATTTCATACTGTAAATAAGAGGTCCTGCTGGAATACCCGGCCTCCAAACTAACTGAAGTCACTGCTTTAGCCAGGAATATGACGAAAACTATTCAAGGAGAGATACCATGTGAGCACAGAATGGGTTATATTGTTGCTCTAGAATGCAAGCTGCCTGTGCATAATGTAAGAAACAGCCTGTGTTAGAATTAGCAGTAAATGTTGTTTTATCTTATGCTTACAGCACCATTCAAAGGGACCTCAGCAGACCAGAGAAAGAGGCTGACAGAAACACTATGGAGATCAACAAAGGGAAACGCAAACTCTGGCACTTGCAGACAGGCAGGTGAGACATAGGCACCGAGACATAGTGCCAACCAGCTGGAGAGGAGCTTGGCAGGAAAGGACCTGGACAAGCTGAAGATGGACCAACCACTCATCCTGCAGCAAGGGAGGCCAACATTTCCTTGATGCGACAAGGAAAGCTAATGCACGGTTGGAACACAATCTGGCAAGGGACGTTAAAAATAACAAAAAAAAATCTTCAAATACATTAACCGCAAAAGGAAAATCAGGGAAAACGTGGGTCTGCTGGCGGACAGGATGGGCACCCTGGTTACAAACAACACAGAAAAAGCAGAGTTGCCGAATGCCTTCTTTGCTTCACTGTTTACCAAGGGCGGCCCTTTAGAGTCCCAGGCCCAAGGGACAAGAGAAGAAGCCTGGAGAGAGGAAGACTTGCCCTGGGTAGAGGAAGATTGGGTCAGAGAGCACCTAAGGAAACTCGATACCCATGAATCCATGGGCCCTGATGGGATGCACCCCAGAGTGCTGTGGGAGCTGGCGGAGGTCATAGCTAAGCCGCTCTCCATCATCTTTGAAAGATCCTGGAGAACAGGGGAGGTGCCGGAAGACTGGAAGAAGGCCAATGTCACGCCAGTCTTCAAAAAAGGCAAGAAGGAGGACCCAGGCAACTACAGGCCAGTCAGCCTCACCTCCGTCCCCGGAAAAGTGATGGAACGGCTCATACTGGCCGTTATCTCCAGGCACATGGAGGACAAGAAGGTGCTCAAGAGTAGTCAGCATGGATTCACCAAGGGAAAATCTTGCCTGACTAACCTGATAGCCTTCTATGATGAAACGACCGGCTGGATAGACAAGGGGAGAGTGGTGGATGTCGTCTATCTCGACTTCACCAAGGCTTTTGACACCGTCCCTCACAACATCCTCCTGGGCAAGCTCCGGAAGTGTGGGATAGATGAGTGCACAGTGAGATGGATTAGGAACTGGCCGGATGGCAGGGCCCAGAGAGTGGTGATCAGCGGTGCAGAGTCTAGTTGGAGGCCTGTGGCTAGTGGGGTCCCCCAGGGGTCAGTCCTTGGTCCAGTCCTGTTCAATTTATTCATCAATGACCTGGATGAAGGCACAGAGTGCTCCCTCAGCAAGTTTGCTGATGATACCAAACGGGGAGGAGTAGCTGATACCCCAGAGGGCTGCACTGCCATCCAGAGGGACCTGGACAGACTGGACAACTGGGCAGTGAAAAACCTCATG